GGATAATTCTGATTGAGTTGAAGTGCAGAAGGGTTTTAGTTAGTGTTCTGCAGGCCGATGGTAGGGGTTGGGCTAAACGGAGGGGGGGCAAGGCCCATAGTGGAGGATTGGCTAATTGACACGAGACATGACCATTGAGGGTTGTAATTGCAGAGATAAGGGAGGGGTATGTCTTGATGAGAAGTTTTAGGAATCGAGAGATCGGAGAGTTGCCTAACTGGGGTTCTAGCCCAGGTAGGAATGGACGATAGGGAGAGGGTTCGACGAGGATTCGGCGAAGGCTTGACAAGCGTGGGTTGAGGGTGGAATTGACCATGAGTAAAGCCTTTGTTGAGCCTTGGATCATAACAGGGGGTAGAGCCTCGATGCCAAGGCTTGCCGAAGGCTTGAAACCCAGGGCTTTCCAAAGCTTGAACCAAGCTTGATCCAAGCTTGATCCAATCGTTAGCCAATCCTTCAATTTATCTAGAAATTATTGATCAAAATAATGAAAAAAAGTAAAATAATTACTTTGTTGTTACTAATACAAGTCAATTTCACCCCCATTTACCTATCTCTGATGAATGGATCATTGGAAAGACCTAATTAATTAACTTAAAAATTGACCGCCGCCACCGAGATTCGAACGCACGACCCTAACATTACAAAACTTACGCCTTACCACTAAGCTAACGCGCACCTATGAATTGTCATTTTCAATTGTGCCTATGAAGTCTATGTCAACTTGTAGAAATAATGTTGTTGAATAACGTTCTACTTGTGTAATGTAACCAACACCACTAACTATTTACTTAATTTACATTATTAACATAAGTTACTTTTTCTCGATCAATCCCCCGCCCCCCATTCCTCGGTGACTCCTAATCCTTATTACAAACATACGCACAAATTTGTTTTATCTGCAGCGAATTGATTGTTATTATTATTAATATTATTATTATTATTATTTATAATAATCCTGAAGCGAGTCAGAGTTTACCCAGGGTCTTTCAAAGGATCTTAACTGGGCCTCAATCATTCATGCCTCGGTTGAGCCTAATGATAAGGTTAGTATGCTCAGCCTCAGCGCGCTTAGGCTGAACCGAGCATGTACTCAGCGTGCTATAAGTTATCCTCAACAAACCAAAGCTGGTGCTAATCTGTTTCGAGCCTTGGACCAAGCAGCATAAGGAGATTCAAAATATTATGGAGGCCCATAACTTAGCTTCGCCGGACGAGGCTTCAGCCAAGCCTGAATATAAGCTTAGGCTATTTAGGCCCAGTACGCTGACACTTACAGAAGCCTCAATTCACCTTGGTATGAATGATTCTTATCAAGGCAAGACTGATTCGATCCTGTGTCTAGGCTTGGACTCAGCAGCCTGAGGGGAGCCAGAATTGTCCAAAAGTATTCCAAGGGCTTTTAACTTAGCCTCAATGGATCAAGCTTCGGCCTAGCCTGAGTATAAGCCTGTCCTGTCGAGGCTCATTGAGTTGAGGTTTACATGAGCCTGTTATCAGCCTAATATATCCCATCCTCAACAAGTCATGGTCAGGTCAGGCCTGTATTAATCCTCATATCGACAAGCCTCGGCAAAACAAGGTTTGCAAAAGGTCGGCCCCATCGTCGAACCTTTGAATTCTTACCTGGGAGGTATTGAGCTATTGGGTAAGCATCAAATTAAGGACCACCATCGGTGTTGTAGTCGGAAGTCAAGCTCCCAAAGGTTATGACAGTATTTACAATACAAATCATAAATTGAGGCCTATTCTATGATGGGCCCTGTTTCATTCCTTCCCTCGAAAAAGGACAGTGGGGAAGAAGAACAATTAAAAAAGGGTATTTTAATGCCGCTGTCACGAAATATTTGAGAACTTTAAAAATAAAAATTTGACAGAGGATTATTAGAGAAAACTTTCCCCAACATTCCTCAGCCCGATGTCATGGGGCACTCCCCAAGACCAATGCCGAAACATCCTCAAAAATAACCATCACCTTTGATATTTCCCCCGGAAGCAGATGTCTAACTTTTCCAAAATTTTAAGAACTACCATTGTGAGTAATTTTTTCTGCATTTCAAATTGAAATTTATGGTGACCAGGCAACATTCAACTTCCAGAAACCAATCATAAAAACTAAGAAGAAAACTCAGTCCGCTATAAAAAAAATCGTTCTTGAATTTCCTTATGAATTTTTACGACATAATCCTTTGCAGATGCCTTTTCTCTACTATGAACACGTGCAGGTCGACCAAGAGTCAAACAATGCAAAACACTGACCTGAAAGAAATAACCCATCTAAGGATCTCCTTTTCCCTTCTGTACGTATCCGCCCCTCTGACATTTTCACCAATAAAACAACGAGAATTTCCTCCTCCTCAAAAATTGCCAACTCCTTAGTCTGTTACCAAAAATTGATAAAAGTAAGAATAGTCAGCTACAAGTAGAAGATCCTTCCGACAACATCAAATCGATAATTCCAAGCTCTTGAATCCAGTACAAGTTCTAGAGATTAGTTGAGAGTATTACGGTCGATTAGTGAACCATACCTTACGTGTAGAAAACAAAGGACATTTTTAAATACGTGAAAAACCAACTTCAGTATACATAAATAATACTTTTTGAGAAAATATAAAAAAATATAGCAGTGAACCCTTGACATTGTGTGTGCAGTTATTTATCCCATCAGTGAGACTATAATAATGAGAGATAATGATTTGGACTAGTGGTGAATTGTTTACATAAAAAGAAAAAAAACGAAGTGAATTTTTAGTCATATATTCTTTCGAGTGAAATTAATTTTATAGCTCGAAAGTGTCCCAGATCAATCAGTGATTTCGGGCACAACAGGCCCTATTGTTCTGGAACAGTTTGCGGAACCCTGAGTCAGCACGAGTGTCAAAGGAGGGGGGGGGGGGGCATTTGGAATGTGCATCCTTCTCGCCTCTTAATATCCAAAGGCATTCAATAATGAAGAAAATTTATCGAGTCGAATCCAAATTGTTGTTTTATGTGGAAAAACCGTAGTCATAAAAATGATCGCTATGGCGCTTTTCATACAACTGTGTCTACTACCCTCTCGATACCCCGCCCTTCCCTTTTCTGCCCGCCTTGAGTTGTAGCGAAAAAGTTTATAGCACGCGCTCCTGCAATACCTGTATTTTGCCGATCCCTGTTCAATTTGAAAAATGAAAGCAATAAAACTGCAGTTAGATATAGTAAATTCCGGAAAATATTGGGTCTCCAAAATCACAATGAAACGAGCATTAAAGTCTAATGCCATTTAATTTTTTCATTATTCATGATATTCTAACTGCTAGAAATACTTTTATGATGTCGCCAATTCTCGATTTCCACCACTACTCACCGGCGACAGAATCAACTTTCTCCAAAAAATGTAATGTTTTTAAATGATAATCGCACTTGGTCATTTTTCAACTACACTAAAGAGTTTTATTTCAATGATGAATACGAGGAAACATTCATGTTGTCAAATTTGCAATTTTTATTGTTTAGTGGATAATTTCATTAAAATAAGCGAACACTTATGAGTGTTTTCTTTTTCTTAATGCCTCACAATTACATGAATTAAAAAAATCCTTGCCATTTGTTTGGATTTACAGCAACTAATCAATAACATTTTTTTAAAATTCAAAATAAAAATAAAACTAAGTCATCCCCACTTTTCGTTCTGCGGAAAATGTGGAAAGTAGGAAGTGAACTACGTAGAGTGGGAGCGCGCTATGATAATCTTTTTTCGTATTAAAAAAAAGTTGCCATTCAGTAACTAGTTTTACTATTGTAAATATGAAGTAGTGCCAACTAAAGATTTTGTTTTAAAATCTAAATTTTTTAATTTTTTCATTAAAAATATTTATCAAAAAATGGATTTGATTTTGTTTTTTTCAATAAGAAATATCCAGTTTTGCGGAATTACAAAAAAAAACAGCACGTGTTTCTCACTCTTAAAAAAAAAGAATATCCATCCCCTACCAACATGCATCTGAAGTGGCTAATCCGACTGACCAATATATTTAACAATAAACGAGATAAATACAAATTAATATTCAATAATTATTTTCCACATTAGCGACATCTTGAATTTACAGAGAAAATAATGATTCTTCATCGAATTAATTATTCCCGTGCCACGCACGTTTTCAATTGAAAAAAAAAAGAAAATCCCTCGTATAGTGCCGTTTCCTGTAAGACCCCGATTTCTTCTCTTGATGTTACTTCCGAATGGAATCTTTCAGGTATATGATTTTTTCGATCGAGTAATATTGCTCGGAAATGATATACAGTGTCATGAAATTGTGTTTCACAAAGTGTACAAAGTGTATACATTTATTCGCAAATTTTCATAAATGCAAACGAAATAAGGTGTAAAACTTGATTGGTGATACTTTGGAGAATCTCCAACAGTTTTTGAAAATAGCAATGTGAACAAAAATCATTCTTCTAATATGATTGTTGTTCCTATGCTTCTACAGGGTGTGTTCATCTATAGGTGAAACACATTGTCCTTTGAGGATTTATGCATATTGGAGGGTAAAATGTTAAAACGAGGTTAAATTGCACTTGGTTCATCGCAACTTCTATATTTTTTCGGCTAATTGTGGGCTTTTTAAATAGCGGCAATTTGGTAAAAACATGAGATTTCCCGAGATTCAAATGATGGTAGATACCCATAATGTATCATTAGCTGAGCTTCTGAAAATACCCTCAAAAGAAAATGTGCGAGCGTAACGTGACATGACATTTCATGTCCATTTTAATATTTAAAACGCTATAACTTCCGTACGGGTTAACATACGGGGCTGAAACAATAACCATTACAAAGCAAATTTCATAAGCTTCCAAATGATATACAATATGTATTCCTCAACCAGAAAAATAAAGGGTTTAGGGAGGTGGAAGTGTCAGCTGACTCAGAGTGACAACGATTTTTTTAATAGGGATCTTTACTTACATCAGATGACTATATTTTAAGATATTAGATATGTGTATGAATAACTAACCCATAGAATAATCACGAACGATGTTCCAGAGTCGATGTCTCACCAAATTGAAATAAATTCTATGACACTTTTTTCTGAATTTTATGCGATCCTCTACACTAAAAACAACTAAGCCGATGCATGATTTTTTTCTCGAGGCTTCCCTTCCGTCACTGCGTACAAAGCAACGCTTTCCAACGGTTTCATGGGGCGAAAGTATACCGGATAATACGACGAAGTGATCCGAAGTGCTCCGAGCGTCTCGAAAGGAAGTGAGAAGTAAGAGCCTTCGGATATCTTCGGTATATAGTCATGTCCACCTATAAGAATTATCTTTGAATCGGAGTGGGGGCAATACAACCATAACTACCCTCAGGTCAATTCTCGATCATTTTGGAGCACTCGGTGGATTACGACTAAAACTTATAGTTTCCACGGTGGAAAACCACATAGTTTTCATGTTTTCTATGATAACACAATGTATGGTAACACAAAAGTTTTCCTGTGACTCCCCCACCATCAAAACTCCTGTAGAATCAACCCCTTGAAACTGTCACGATTTAGTGAAGGAGATTGTGAAAGGTGACATGAGCAATTGGCAGATCGTTTATCAATTATGTTTGTTCAGACAATTTTTCACCGTAAACATATTTATATCAGTTTTGGTCTTTGTTGGAAATTCGAAAAGGAATGCGAAATAATTCTGACCAACTATTAAAACTTTTTCATAGTTTGCTGAGAATTACTTATCAGGCCAGGCAAATGAGTTACTTAAAATCGAGATGGATATGGAACAAATTTAAATTACATAAAAATTTGTCAAAATAGTGCTGAAAAACACCCACTGAATTTCTGAGATTCTAGTTAACCGCAAAAGTACTCAAAAAAATTGAAAAAAAAATACAATTGCGATATTGCTTCCATTTAAATCAATTCTTGTATGTGTTTTTGCTAATATATTAGCAATATGCTTCCGAATGGACTGACTCCTAAGTATGTATTTTATTGATATTTATTCAACAATGAATACAATGAAAATAATCCTTATGGACCACGTATTCTAATTCAATAGCGAAGTGGTAAAAGGAGATAAGTCCATTTTTATTAAGTCCCCAATATTTCCACTATCGCATACAGATTACTGTAGAAATACGATTCATGGAAAAAAAATAATTTCGGAAAAAAACATAGCGCGCAGAAAGAAGTGAAACTTCCCAATTGCATTTGCAGGAAACCACGTATGGAAAAAATTAATAGAAAATCTTAGCAAATTTGCGTACGAAATTCTATAGGATTTCTATGAGCTTTCTATTCGAATTCTATCAAAAATTCCATCTGAATTTGCACGATTTCTATCGGATAATCTACAGTAAAAATGCCATGTCTTTTCAAATTCTATTGAATTTTTCTATTTAAATTTTTGAGCTATAATTTGGTGTTTTTTTAACGCGGATTCTGAAATTCAAGACAGAACCGAATAAAACAAAAAAAAAATCTTGAAAAAATTTTCCGACGAAAGTAAGCGCTGCGCTCACCATGCGAGCAATCCCGTATTAGAAATTTACCAAGGAGATTTTGCCAAGATTTTGCCAAGAGATTTGTTGTTGACTCTCGGGACAATCTCAAGCGGCGTATGGAGAGGGTGCCGGTGGCGGTGTGGCAATTTTGCGTTCGAGTATACACGGGCGGCGCAGCGCTTGCCATGCGACCAACTTTTTTTCATTAACTTTTCATCGTTTCTTCTATTTTACCACTGAAGAAGTGGACTTTTCGGCATTGGTGATGCATCGCTGACTTTTTTATAGGAAATATAATGCTTTTCGAATCAAGTTCTATAAACTTAGTTCGTCTCTATGGCGATTCTGCTATAGTAAAGAGAGAAAGGTGCACGCAGGCGTTTAAATTTCCATTTTTTTTTCAACAATTTCCCGGTCTGGTGAAACCTCAATAACTCAGTATGTGTTTTCCACTATTGTTCCGCCAATTTTCACGTACTTCTCATGCATTCCTTATATACATTTATTTCTAATTGCTAATCTGACTTGCCGAAAAGGCCTGATGCACAATACCGGGCGTATATCAATCCAATTTTGTTGAATTTGTCAATTATTCGAAATGTTTTCATATCTAAATTTTGCTCTGTGTAATAATAGTTGCATATTTTGACATTTTCAATTATTTTCGATCATTAATAAATGGGAATGTCTTGTCATGAAAACAAAATATCTCGCAACGGGACCCTTACTCCACGCTACTCAGAGTAAGAGGAGAGTGGGGTGTAAAACCCATAAAGTGGTGGCACGCGAAAAAAATTTCCTCAAGTACATGGAATTCTATTCCATTAACTTTGAAAATATAAAAATTTACTCAATTGAAAATTTTCTAAAAGAAATTCACCGATTTTTTGCATGTTAAAAAAAAATGTCAAATTTTCACTTTTATTATTATCGATGAATGTTAATAAATGAAATTAAATTTGACGACATTGAGTGTTTTTTTTTATTTCTTATTTGTTCTTTGTTTATTATTCATAGTGGTTAGCATAAAATATTAAACTCTTTATTCAATAATGATAAATATAGTGTATGTGAAAATAGTGTAATAGTGTAATTGAAATTCCCTTATTTTTTAAGTACGCTGAACACTTAAGTGACAGTCTGAATAAAGTGAAAAAATTTTCCCAAGAAGATGGCAAGTAAGTATAGCTGAATATTTCATATGTACAAGCGTTTTATTCCGCGAAAACACGGGATAATCATGATTCAAAAAAAGAACAAAAAATCTTGACCGTGAAAAATTTACTCTTCGAAATAAATGGAACTCAAGGGAAAGGAGTAGCAAGGGACTCATCCTAACGTCCGAACTCTAAGCAATTACATCATCGTCTTTCGCTGTCTCCTTCGTTTTTCCAGTGTGGCATTTTAATTTTTTTATTCGCCAAGTCCGTACGCGCAGGTAAGGACCTGTATCGGTGGTTGGCCCGTGATTATTGAGGGACTGTTGAAGTAAATAAAGTTTGTGAGAAATTTTCTTTAGAATGTACAAATACACATAATTCATTACATAACTTTTTATTTCCAATGGAGGTCTTAAAATAATTCGATTTTGCGATTATGTAACTTTGCTAGTAAATTATATAGGTTGATGTAAAGTGCAACAATTCTAACTTCAACCACCCTACTGTCGGAATCAACACTTGAGACTATGAACTTGACATGGTGATAATCGTAAAAAAAATTTCCGAGAATTGATCTAGAAAGTTCTCCCGAGACCAACTAGAAATCATTTGAGAGAAATTTTTTTTTTCAAAATATTTATTCCCATATACATGACAAAGTTTGTGGAAAGAAAAGCTAAAACTTAGTATGTTAGAAAGAGCGGCAACGTTTATATGCCTGTTACACAATAAATTTTTTCTTTTATCATTTCCAAATGATTACTAAGATACTCCGATCCTTCCTCAAGTGAACGACTCCAATTTTGTATTAATCCGTTTTTTAAAACTGGTTTTGAATGCAAATACGGCACTCACCTCTGAAACAATCTATTAACAATAGGAGAATGATCTTTGTATGTGAAAAGAGAGAAAAATGCAATTTCTAAAATTCCATACTTGTTGTTGACACAAAATAAGTAAAATTGTTTTTTCTTTTTCTTTTTCTGTCGGAGAAGGAAAGGGACTCCCCGGTGGAAGTCTTTATTGTTATGGTCCCCAGTTCTTTTTTTTTATGGAGAACCTTTGTTGACATGTTCCTTGGAAAACTGACTACAGGCGACAAAAAGGGTACATCGCGCCCCTCATGACCACAGTAATTAAATGCTTCCCACCGGGAGGTCCCATTTTATTTTCCGGCAGCAAAACCAAAATTAATAATAATTTGCTTGATTTTTTATCAACGATGACAAGTATTGATTTTTAATGATTATTTTTTTCCCCTTTTTTCACATGCAAACATCATTCGCCTATTCACAATGGATCGTATCACAGTGAACCGCCGTATTGGCATTCAGGAGTTACTGCCGACATCTTTCAACTTTTCATGTTTTTTTGGAAAATTTCCCGAAAATACATCTGGTGACAATGTACCTATACCGAAATACACCTAGAGTCTAGACTCTAGTCTAGAGTCAAACTCCTAGAGTCTTATAATATTTAATAATAATTCTCAGTCTTAAAAATACTCCAAGTGTTCCTTTACTTCGATCTCCATAATCCAATAAATATGTTAGCTATTTTATACCAACTTTTCCAGATATTCCCACTTTTTGAAATTTTGACAAGAAATACTTATATTTGGACTCAATTAAAGACCGGGAATAACGAATAACAATGCAATCTTAATCGATTTTCCCATCTGGAATGTAGAAGAGGCTGTAGAAACTTGAAATTTAATTAAGAAAATTTGTAAAGCAATTGATAATTTGAATTTTCGATTATTTATTCAATGAAGAATAAATTTCGGAAAGATATACTTGTCTATAGAATTAATGTGAAATTTTATAAAAGTCCGACCAACATCCAAATAATTGTCAATGTTACGAACTATATTATCCATTGATAAAATAATTCAGCTTCTTGAAATGCAGTGGTTTTGTAAATTGTAAATTTATTGAGTTAAATTTTGTCGTCAGAGATACGAGGTATTCAGTAAATTGAATATTACTCGATTTCTTAGGGCACTCCCGCTTTCTCGTTGATAATTGGATTCTTGAATCGTGGGGATTGAACCGCTAAGTTCTCGACCGGTGGAGGAACATATTCGGAATGTGCCACCAAAAAACCATACTAGAATTCACCGAAATTACCTCGCGAACATGTATAGACTGCTGAAGCTATTGAAGATTATTGTCGACACTCGTAGGTGCCAATATCGTTGTCGTAAAAAGCAAAGATGCGTGTGCACAAACACCCCTTTATGTAAGTTACAGAACTATCTATCTACTAAGTAGAGGACCCTAGGGTTGAACGCCTATAAGTAGTATGGGGTATACTCAGGGAATGTTCCTATCTTCTGCCACCAGGCGGCGCTAGTGTCGCGGCGTGTATGGTTGGGGTGGGGGGTATGGTGGGAGTTTCAAATTTCTTGGCGGCGCTAGTGTCGCGGGGCCCGTGGGTGGCGGTGGGTGGTGGGTGACGGTGGGTGGTGGGT